GCGGGCCGGTGCCCGGCGGGCCGCAGCCTCACAAAGCCGCGGGGCTGTCGGCGAGCGCGCAGCGCGCCGAGGAGGAGGGGAGCCGTGCGTCCCCGAGGGAGAGCTCGGGTTCTGGGGCCGGCAGACCCGGGTCTGCTCCGCAGCCGTCGCCTGTTGATTTCTTTCTGGACCATTGTGCAAAACCTGCCGCATCCGCTCGGACTTGGATCCAGGACCCTGGCAGCCTTTAAGGATGGGGGTTCCCGGAGCTGGGTGATCCCTGACAGTCAGATCAGATACAGCCAGCGGCTTCCCGGGGAGTTCTGGTCAAGTGCAGTCCTGGGGGAGAATCGGCCGTGGCCTTCCTAGATCTGTGCTCGCCTGAAGGTACAGGACCTTTCCAACTGTCAGGTTACTTTCTTCCACTTCCGTTTAATTAGGCACATTCTCAAAGTCCTAGGAGCGGTGGCGACGCTAACTGAATGCGTTGAGCATTTTATCAGTCTGGAGGTGAGAAGGGCTTGCAAGTTAGAGAACTGCAAGTGCTGAGCGTCCTGTTGAATCTCCACAGGTCCCTGCCCGACAGGAGAAGCCTCCGTTCGGGTTCCTTGTAGGGGACAGGTCGCTGTGTCCCACATCAGTCGAACTTATCAGAATGTGTATCGGCGCACACCGAAGCCTCGGCTGTCAAGGCTTATGTAATCAACTTGTTAATTTATAATCTCGTTACATTGCCTTCCAGATTTACAAAATCGTTCCCTTAAGGAAATCTGTCTTCAACGTCTGCTTAAATATTTCTCTTGGAATTGGATTCCTGAAGAGGAATGTACTGTACGAGTGCTGATTAAAACATACTAATTAGGCACGTTTCCCTTTTTTAAAAGAATGCCAAGTACATATCGATTCGTTTATCCAGCTATCTAATTGTCCCTGTGAAGAAAACAGGTGACATTCCCATTTTACAGAGCTAGAGAGGAGAGAAATTACATGACATTCCCAAGGTCATGTCGTGAGGCAGTGTAGAAAACGAAGTGAGAGGTGCTAACTTTTCTTAAGAGTCGCACCTCCAGTACTTTCAGAATGGGAAACTTCGAGTGCTGTCTTCTTTTAATTTTTAAAATTTGCATAATTTGTTATTTCATCTTGTGCCCCCAGATTATTCTCACCCTATTATTTTTTTCTGTTTAAAATTTTCCTGTGTTATTGCAGTAATTTCCATTAGTTTAAAACTGAAATTCAAGTTGTACTAATTTTTATTTTTACTCTTCTAGACCAAAAATATAAATTGGGCGTTTGTGGTTCAGATTTAATCACATCCTAAAAGAAAAACTTTTAAGTGTCCTTATTAAAATTGAAGAGGACTCATAATATTTTTACTGGTCACAGGAAATAGTGTTTATCTAAACTTTTCTGAGGGTGCTTCCTGCCTATCGAAAGTGAAACTAAATAGAAAAAAGTTATTTTTGGAAATATTGAGCAGCCGTGGTCCTAAGCGCTGGTATAAATAAAACATGGGTTTTCCTTGAAGTGATTGAGCTTGAGAGCTCATTACACCGCCTAAGGAAAGATGCAGATAAACTTTTCACATGACCAGAATTTTAGGAATTAGAAACAGACAGGAACCCGAAAGGCTTAACAGCATCTCAGCTGTTTGAGGCAGAGGGTTCTTTCAGCTAGGATGCTTTTGCAAGAAAACTGATTCACAATATAGGTGCTGCCCAGTGTCCCAGATACGTGCGGATAAATTCGTACAGCGCCCTGAGTTGAAAAGTTGAGTGGATCCTAGGAGGTCTGAAGATATACTTAATCTCCGATCATTTATACATGGACCCTTTGTCTATTTTGGGGGGATCTAAGCTAGAGGGGAGCAATACAAAAGTGCTTCCTGCCTTTAGGAGCTTGTGAGTTATGGGGGAACACTAAGATAAACCCCAGCAATGGAAGCCCGAGTGTGCTTAGGAAAACCCGCAGAAGCGGGGTCAGTGGCGGGTCTGGGCCTGGCCTGGGCCTGGCCTGGGCCTGCTTCACAGCGGAGGCCGTGGTTACGCTGGTCTTGAGGTTAGGTAGGGTCTCAGGCAGGGAAAAGGCTCTTGGGTTTAGCGGGGGGATGAAAAGGTCAAGTGGAAAGAAAATAACATCAGAGCGGGTGAGAGGAAGTTGAGGTGGAGAATGAAGCTGTTTTGTTTTTGTTTTTGTTTTGAAGCTGTTTTTTAAAGTATTTGAAGAGGAGAGAGGAATGGGATGCTAGCTTTGGGTGAAGGGAAGGTTTTGTTGCTGATCGGGAAGAGCTGGTGTGAAGGCCCTGCCCTTAGTTTAGTGCTCTCTGGAGCGAGCACTGTGAGTGTGTTGTCTGCTCTGGATGATCTGAAACGGAGTCACTCACAAGATGAAGATTGTTTCTGCATCCGCCTCTCTGCACATCTGCTTTGGGTTGTGGCCTTGCCTCGCCTGGGAAGCTGTTGCTCACTGTCAGTGGAGGAGGACCCTGTGTGACGAAGGTCCCCGGTCTGCCCTCCCTGAACACTTGCGGGCACTTCCAGAGCCCCTTGGGAGCCTACTTTGGCACCTCCAGCGTTTGGCCCTGCTCAGATTGGCCAGTGAGGCATCTGCCCCTTCCGGGTACTGTGCTCTCTGCTCGGCCGCTGCGGGAGTGCTCAGCAGCCTTCAGAGCCGGAGGGCATCATCCACCCCAGCCGGGGCTGAGAGTTCCGAGTGTCTCCAGGCACAGGGCAAGCTTGGGCCTTTCTGTGAACCTCCCAGATGCTTAGGTCAGATGCCTGGGCCATTTCGTGTAGTCATGAGGTCAGGGCTCAGAAGCCCAGCGCAGGTGCGGTCGGAGCACAGCCTCCGTTGGCCCAAATTTCTTAGCGGTCAACAGTTTGTTCTCTTGATCAAACCCAAAGGACTGGCAGCTCCTTGGGTGTACATTTTTAATCTTACAGTTTTACAGCTAAAAGCAGACCTGCTCTGTGCTAGCATGTCGCAGTGGCTCAGGAACTGTTTGCTCCGCCCTGTGTTCCCTGCCGGAGAGAATGGTGCAGCAGGTGCAGTCTCCCCCGGAGCTTGTTAGATGCCCTCCCTCCCTTGGCCCCCTGCGCACCAGGAATTTGGATCCTGCTTCTGCATTGAGTCCCATCCTCTGCATCTTCACTGCTGCCCAGGCACTGGCTGCCCTTGCTTGAGACACATGCAGTCTCTGTTTACCTGGAGACGCTGGCAGTTCCCTTACGTGTCTCCAGCTTTGGTCTTGTCCTTCCAGAGCGACTTGTTAAACCATCATCAGCTGCCTCCATGGTCACACGGGTGACACTGGGACTCTGCCCCTGCGCTGAGAATGCGTGGTGCTGTACGGGGGTGCAGGGAAGTGGGGCGGACCACGCTGGTGACCTTGAGTTAGGCCTTAAATCAGGGGAAAGGGCATCTGGCTTTTTTTCTTTCCTTCTCGTGCTGGGATTGAACCCAGAAAGCATTGAGACCTTTTCACTTATTTAGAGTCTTACTCAATTGCCCAGGCTGACCTTGATCTTGTGATCCTACTGTCTCAGCCTCCCAGAGTGCTGGATGACAGGTGTGTACCGCCATGCTCAGCTGTTATCTGGCCTTAACCTACCTGCTTGACCTTGTCTTCACAGTAAGGCTCTCTGAGGTCTTTTTACTGGACAGCCTCTTTCCACCACTGTAGTTTCAATTCCTAGTTCAGAGACACAGACGTTTCTCTAGGTTACCTTCTGTGAACGCCCCAAGGCAGATGGAGGATAAAGAGGGTTGTGAACACCTAGAGGCACAGATTTTCCAGGGGAGGTGCCCGGGGCCAGTGTGCTGGCCGCTGGGAGGAGGGTGCTGATGACAGTAGGCTGGGGAGCTGCATGTACAGGCCTCTCCAGTGTGAGAGTCTTTGGGAAGGCTAGTTCTGCAAAGTTGAGAAAGTCCTTGGACGGTTTGATCCCACTCACTCGCCTTCCTGCGTGCTGTCCCATTTGACTTCCACAGAACTCTGCAAGGTAGAGGGGATCCCGGGCTTGCTTGTAGGTAGACTGCCGTAGAAGTCAGAGACCCTTGGCGCTTGAGGCCCTGGGCACTCCACCATCCAACATGCTGCTGCGCATATTTGCGGGAAGTGTTTGCTCGTTCTAACGTGAGCCTCTGGGATGCAGACTGTAAGAAAAGCTGCCCTGTGGTGCTTTGAAATGTGGGATCTTGGGACTGCTGCTGTCCTCTCTACCTTCCCTCCTCCTGTACATATGCTCGGACCTCTTAGGCCATGTTACGCATCTTTTTTGCTCTGTGTTGTGTAGCTAGGACAAATATTTGAATAATGTGTCAAATTTGGTTTCATTCTATATTGGGATGGTTCTATTTTAGATTTTCTACTGTTTTATAGTATGATTTACCTTATAAAATTCATTTTAAATTTAGAATATTATACCAGTATAGTCATAAACAAAATATGAAGTCAAAGTATACTATGTTCATGGATCTCGTTAAAATCGCCCTGATATTGTACAGCCTATTTAGTAGTAAGCAAAAGCAGAGTGATTTTAAGGTAAATTTTAGCTATTTTACCTCATTTTCTGCAGGTTCATAGTTCTTTATTGGTATAAAAGTATGGTGGATACTGCCAAAGCATTTTAGAGTGAGAATACGTGGTGTAAAGTTTCAGGGCTCAATTTTCTTCATTCTTTTATTTGGTAAGCATTTACTCATCCTCTTTTGAAGGAAAATACTTCTTCAGAAACAACTGGAAAGAATGTAAATTGGAAAATACACTGAAATTGAACTTTGGGAAGGGTAAAATTTTGAAGGAGTAGAGACAACTTGCTTGAATTTTACCAGGATTGCTTGGTGTTGGTTGTCACTGTCACAAGACTGCATGCAAACAATTGCAGGAAGTTATTTTCAAGGTGCTATAATTACCTCAGCCTATCTTTGAATGGTTATTTGCCTGTAACTTCCTTTCTCAGTTTAAAAAGTAGTTTCTAAACATTTCACAAAGCCTTGAGCAGAGCTGTTTGTTAATGTTTATTAGGTGAGTCTTGGGTGGCACCGGGGCCCGTGACTTGCATGGCATGTTAGAATTGGAGGAACACCAGAAATGTCAACATAGATTTATTTCAGTGCTTTAGTTTCTCTGAGAATTAGACAGGCCTAGGTAAAAGGGAAGCATTGCATTGTCACCAGGGAGAAAAAAAACGCAGGGCCCAAGTCTGAAGGCCTGAAGCCCAACCCAGGCGTCCCCTGCCTGGGCGTAGGTCCAGGGCAGTGAGGCTGTTGGTTTCCCCAGGGCATGAGGGCTCTGCTACAGCTTGGTTGAAAGGGATTAAGCAGCATCACCAGTGTAAGAAGTCCCACACGTACATGGACTCCCAGGAGTCAAATTGTTTCCTGTG